AAAAAAAAAAAAAAAAAAAAAAAAAAAAAAAACTAATGTCACCTTCAGATACAGTTTTGGTTGATAGATCAAAAAAAATAACCATCTTAATCGCCTCAGCGAATGGTTACATCAACACATTCTCACCTGATACAGCGGATGCGTTATTCCAACTTGGTTAGCAGCAGATAAACCAGCAATATTTAACGGGAATAATCCAGGAAGTCCAGTCAACATAAGGCTCCAAAGACGTTGAGCATCAACAGCCCGTTGCAGATCCAAATTTTGAGATCGATTTGCAGCCTGTTGAGCAGCTAAACGTTCTTGAAGAGCCAATAGAAATAGCTGATCTACCTGAACAGCAAATTAGCCGAATAAAAGTTGACAATAAATATTGAATGTGTGATAAGTGGACATCCAAAATCTGTGAATAAATAAATAAACAACCACTGTTAAACCCTTTTCAAAGTTTATTTCTTTTTCATTTACCTTCTTGTAAAATTAACTGTTAGCAACACTTGTCAATTCTTTCTTTCTTTCACTTATTTATATATTTTTTATTCTAATATCAACAATAAATGCTATTTTAGACCACTCTTCTATTGCATAAGATAAACTTGCCTAATTTTTCCTTCCCCCCACTATCATCAGCCACTGTCAGATCTGTCTACATCAATTTGTAAGTAAAAAAATTTATGTCACAAACACATAAATAATGAGAGAGAGAAAAAAAAAGACAACAACAAAAGAAATTGAGAGAAACTGTCACCGATATGAAAAGAAACAAAAATAGCAATAAATTCCCCCAGTTCTGTTCGTTGCACCAAAATTAAATTCCAAAACAACAACAACTGCAGCAGCAGCAACAAAAAGCAACAGTATCAGCAAAACAATATCAAAGGTGAATGACAAAAAGAAGAAAAAAAAAAAAGCAGAAAACAAAAGCAACTATAGTCATTTTTTTTTTTTTTTTAAAGAATTCAATAAACAATTAACTGTATTTACCTGTGCCTGATCGTTAGTCTGCATATGATTAACCTCCTGGGAAGGAACTTCTGTTTCTGCTTCTGTTTCTGTTGTTGTTGTTGCTGCTGCTGCTGTTGAATCCTTTGACGTACTTGGCGGTGAACCCTTAAAGTCCTTATTCAGTCCATCAAAAACAATATATATGTTGCTTTTTTCTCCTTCTTTTGCTTTTTTTCTTATTTTTTTTTCTCAAAACACTGATCAAATATGTCTGAAAAACAAAGAAAAAACATTTCCAAAACAATTCCAATCTTTTTCTTTTTTTTTTTCCATATAACCTTAATGACTTCTTCAATTATTTTAAATAACACAACGACAACAACATAAAATAAAAAAACAACAACAAAGCAGAACAGAAAAAAAAATTGAAATAAATAAAATAAAAGGAAAAACAACAACAACAACAGAAGAAAAAAAAACACACCACCAAAAAAAAAAATTCAAAGATTAACGACTGCAGAAAAAAAAAAAAAAAAAAAACAGATTCTCTTCAACAACACAAATCAACACACAAACACACAGATATATATCCGCAAAAATATCTGATCATCAAATAGTTTTTCCCACACAGTTCCCTTCCCCTCTTTTCCCTCTTAGAGTCCTCTCTTCTTCACCAAAAATTCCCCTGTTCCTCTTCTCCATCATAACTCATCTTCTGTTCAACATCTTTTTCTGCCTCTTTTTTTTTTTCAACTACACACACACACACATAGAAACTCACAAATATCAATAAACAAACAGATAAACAACAATTTACATATGTAACCAAAAATCTTATATAAAATAAAACAGCCTCCATCACACCCCCCCCTCCTCATCCCCTCATCCTCATCCCTTCCCCTGCAAGTTGCCAGGTA